GATACGTCCAACACGTTTTACTGGAAATGCTGGATACGTCCAACATGTTTTACAGGAAATGTTGGATACATCCAACACGTTTTACAGGAAATGTTGGATACGTCCAACACGTTTTACAGAAAATGTTGGATACGTCCAACACGTTTTACAGGAAATGTTGGATGCGTCTAAAACATTTTACAGAAAAAGTTGGATACGTCCAACACGTTTTACAGGAAATGTTGGATACGTCTAACACGTTTTACAGAAAATGTTGGATACGTCCAACTCGTTTTACAGGAAATTTTGGATACGTCCAACACGTTTTACAAGAAATGTTGGATGCGTCCAACACGTTTTACAAGAAATATTGGATGCGTCCAAAACGTTTTACAGGAAATGTTGGATTCGTCCAACACGTTTTACAAGAAATGTTGGATGCGTCCAACACGCTTTACAAGAAATGTTGGATGCGTCCAAAACGTTTTACAGGAAATGTTGGATTCGTCCAACACGTTTTACAAAAAATGTTGGATGCGTCCAACACGCTTTACAAGAAATGTTGGATGCGTCCAAAACGTTTTTCAGGAAATGTTGGATACATCCAACACGTTTTACAGAAAAAGTTGGATACGTCCAACATGTTTTACAGGAAATGCTGGATGCGTCCAACACGTTTTACAGGAAATGCTGGATAGGTCCAACACGTTTTACAGGAAATGTTGGATGCGTCTAACACGTTTTGCAGGAAATGTTGGATACGTCCATCATGTTTTACAAGAAATGTTGGATACGTCCAACACGTTTTACAAGAAATGTTGGATGCGTCCAACACGCTTTACAAGAAATGTTGGATGCGCCCAAAACGTTTTTCAGGAAATGTTGGATACGTCTAACACGTTTTACAGAAAATGTTGGATACGTCCAACACGTTTTACAGGAAATGCTGGATGCGTCCAACACGTTTTACAGGAAATACTGGATAGGTCCAACACGTTTTACAAGAAATGTTGGATGCGTCCAACACGCTTTACAAGAAATGTTGGATACGTCCAACACGTTTTACAAGAAATGTTGGATGCGTCCAACACGTTTTACAAGAAATGTTGGATGCGTCCAAAACGTTTTACAGGAAATGTTGGATTCGTCCAACACGTTTTACAAGAAATGTTGGATGCGTCCAACACGCTTTACAAGAAATGTTGGATGCGTCCAAAACGTTTTTCAGGAAATGTTGGATACATCCAACACGTTTTACAAAAAATGTTGGATGCGTCCAACACGCTTTACAGGAAATGTTTAATGCGTCAAACACGTTTTACAGGAAACGTTGTAAACGTCCAACACGTTTAACAAGAAATGTTGAATGCGTCCAACACGTTTTACAGGAAATGTTGAATACGTCCAACACGTTTTACAAGAAATGTTGGATGCGTCCAAAACGTTTTACAGAAATGTTGGATACGTCCAACATGTTTTACAAGAAATGTTGGATACGTCCAACACGTTATACAGGAAATGTTGGATACGTCCAAGACGACGATGAAGACGATATTGAGCAGATTTTACTCTCTCGTTCATCTTGTTTCGTGCTGCCTGGTCTTGATCAACTCGCCCAATCATAGATCACAACAAAATGCGGCTGTAGCGCTGTTTGTGTAGGATGGTTTGTTTAGCGAATACGTGCATGGAGTCGCCGGTCGTAGACATGGCCAACACATGTATTTCGAAAAACAACATCTCACAAGTCATTCACAAAATCCGACTGGTCATGGTAGAAAAGTGTAAACACGCCTTGCGTAAGATGCTTCAAAGATGGCGGTGCAGTTAGCGTTCCAGTTGATATTATAGTTCACTAAGGCGGTTACTTTCAGGAGTGAGGCTCCTTAGCACACACTACGGTAATATCATGGATAAGAAATTTCAACGATGGATTGGTAAAAATGTGTTTACAGGGGCAAATATCAACGTGGACGCTAGACATTTTCGAAGCGCAAAAATAAGCTGTTCTCTTGTTATGGAATGGGGATCATCGGGAGGCTAAACAGTTAATGTAAGTCAATTCAAACTAAAGTAGCCGTATAATGAATGGCAGTAGAAAAAACAATAATTTTTATAGATATTTAGGGGAAATATCGAGAAGAACTCACTGGAGTAAAATCAGTAGGGAAATAACAAGATTTCCCGTCGAACAAATCTTCGGCCAAATGTTCTAAAAGAAACGTTCTTATTAAGTTCACATACTATATAGTTTACAGCAAATTTAAGTAGTATGAACCATTTTTTTTGAGCCACGTAAGGTCAACTTTATTTATTTGCTACGTCTGAAGCCAAAATTAAATGTCTATTGGGCTTCATTCATAGTGTATCCGGACAGTTGATTAAGAGACAATAGTTAGAAGCCTACAACGGGCAGCTATGACAATGCATGATCCCCAAGAAAGCTCTCCAAGCCACCATACTTTTTAAGCATGCCGGAATGTGTTTCAAATGTAGTAATCTCGAGACGGACATAGCTCTCTTCAAAAAAGACAAATTTTCAAAGTGCTATTGCATAGAATACTCAGGGTATATGCGCACAAGAAATTCGTCCTAATTATTTTTCATACCGATAGGAAATCTCTTTACAATGATTTGAACAAGCTCGAAACAAACCAGCAAGTTCCTTCGATCCTGAAATTGACAGGACGTCGACGTTGAAGGCATTCATAAAAACAACGAAATACCAATAAATAAGACCTTCTCTCCGTCCATTGTTTGAATGTAACCAAAACCAAAATCCGTACCAACTGTTTTGAGCTCTAGAGAATTAACACGAACGCATCTCAAAAACATGACAAACCAAACTTTGATGAGAATATTTAAAATTGAACTTAATAGAAAAGCTAAAACAAAAGCTCATTGAAGTGACCAATGACCCAGACTTGTTCCATGCACAAATCGAAGGAGTTGGCATGTTTACATGATTTAACGACTATGTGAGGCTCGATAAAGTACGGTAAGTCAATTAATTTTAATTACCAGTCATTTTCTTTTCAAGTAGTACAGGAATAACATGAAAACTTTTATATCGATCAGCTTGAAACAATGAATGCAAAATTCACAAAAAAAACAAGTTTTAAATCACAGCACATGACTTGTACTTGGAAAAATACATTATTAATAAAACAGAGGAACAAATAAGCTAGGATGACTTGATAGTTTGTTCGTGAAAATATTGTTGCATTGCAAAAATTAAGAAATGCGGGATTACTAGCCAGTACAAACACGAAAAATATCTCATAACAATTATGCGAAACAAAGAAATTTAAAAAAAATGTTTTAATTTTCCTATAACATGCATTCGTGATTGATTTGCAAATTCTCTTTGATTGATTCAGTTGATTGAGCTACAATGGTTGAGCTAAGATGGTTTTGCACAAGTTAATGAAGACTCAATCACGGACAATTTAGCGCAGGCGTTGTATTGCTGTCATTTTACAACTCCAAATGACGCTCCCCCCCCGGATAAAATCCTGGGTCCACACCTGTACTAAATACGTACGTAATCGTAAGTAGCTAGAATGTGCGCGCTCTTCAAAAATAAACAAATCGCAAATGACTATCTTATTCATGATAGTAATTTTTCAAAAGCCTTCATATTCTACTGATTAAAACATATACTTGTCGAAACGTTTAAAATAAAACGCTTACTTTTCACGATATGTCAACTATTTTTTCTTTTACTAAGATACTATTTCGCAGTCGTAATACATTGTTACCTGTACATGAATCTCTTTAAAATTGCTTGAACTATCCTGATAATTAATCCTTATTGTGGTCAATAGGGTGACCACGTCCTATACGTAAGCTTTTCCTGTTATTGTGGTCAACATACACATGCATGTATGAGTAAGGCATTTTACAAAGAGCACTAACTAGTTAACTAATAATATATTTAAGTATATAACAATAATAAGTATAATTTACATAATTATGGATTATCATGTAACAAAAGTGTAATAACTGTCGTGATTTTGGAAGAAGTATTTTATAACCAGATAAATTCCCTGTAACTTGAGGCAAATTATTCAGAAACTCAAGTTTATTTATTATTCATTTGTTTATGTAACTTTTTCATGCCGTGTGGTTGCCGGCTTAGAATTGCGCCAACGTATCCTCTGCGTGTCGTAAAAGACGACTAAAAGGGGTTGGTGTAAGGAAGGGCATCCTACCGTAAAACTTTTGCTCCAACAAAATTCATGAACTTTGGAAAAGAAGATATGGCCCCCAGTCCCCAGCAGCCCTTCAGTGCGCTGGGGGTGCGAAGAATCTCCGGATCGAATGTTGGTGGAAGTGTCACTCCTCGGGTAGGCACAGTGAACGTTGGGACAATGAAGGGAAGGAGTGCAGAAGTGGCGGACATGTTGAAGAGGAGGAAAGTTTATGTGTGTGGGTTTCAGGAGGTAAGGTTTAAAGGTGAAGGTACGAGAGTCATAAAGGGTGAAGATAATGGAGCGAGATTTAAGTGGTTTTGGAAGGGAAACGGAAGTGGCACGAATGGTGTTGGCTTTGCGATAAGAGAGGATTGGGCGAAGTCGGTTGTAGCAGTGAAGAGAGTTTCGGACAGAGTCCTGAGAGTTGATGTAGTTATTGAGGCCGAAGTTGTGGGTTTCGTTGTGGTGTATGCTCCGCAGGTTGGACGAAGTGCGGAGGAGAAGGAAAAGTTCTACGACAGCGTGTATGCAATGAGAGCAGACATTAGAGGGCGATGTGTGATACTTGGTGATTGGAACAGTCATGTGGGAAGCGTAAGAAAAGGATACTGTGCGCATGGAGGTTTTGGAGTTGGTGATATGAATGCTGAAGGCGAGGCGATATTGGAGTTAGCAGCGAGTTGTGGGATGGTGGTAGTGAATACGTGGTTTATAAAGGGAAGCAAGTGTGACTTATGAATCTGGTGACAGTAGGACGGTGGTGGATTATATACTGGTGAATGAAGAAGAGGAAAACGTGAAGGATGCAAAAGTGATTGCAGGAGAATGTGTGACCAGCACAAGCTGCTGGTCATGGACTGGAGAATCAGGAAGGTGAAAAGGAGAAAGGTTGAGGGTAAAGGCAAGTTATGGAAGTTACGATCGAATGAAAGGAAGCAGTGTTTCCGTGACGAAATTACGACATTGAATGTTGAGGTGAGACGGTGGAGAGCGATGGACGCTTGAGAAGGGTGTTTTAAAGGCAGCGGAGAAGGTATGTTGTAGAAGTAAAGGCGGTGTAGTAGAAGAACAGGCATGGTGGTGGGATCAACGAGTCAGCGAAGTGATTGGCGCGAAGAAGTTGGCATTTAAAAGGTGGAGAAAGTCGCGGACTGAAGCAGATAGGATCGATTACACCCGGTTCAAGAAAAAGGCGCGAAAGGAGGTGGCTAAAGCGATAGAAAGGCATCAGAAAGAGCTTCTCGTAAAAATGCAGGAGAATGGACGAAAAGCGTTGTTTAGAACTGCTAGAAGGAGCAAGAAGGAGAGGAACGATATTTTGGGTGCTCCCGGCGTGCAGAACCACGATGGGGAGTTGAAGGTGTTATTGGAAGACAGGTTAGAAGTGTGGAGGGCGTACTGTGACCGTTTGATGAATGTAGAGAATGAGTGGAATGGAGAAGTTGAAGCGGATGAAGTTTTGGGGCCGTGGGAAATAGTGACTGTTGATGAGGTGGCGGCGGCTCTGCGCAAGATGAAGAAAGGAAAGGCGACGGGACAGAGTGAAGTGGGTAGCGAAATGTTGGACAATGAGCTATGCGTGAGAGAGTTGTGTAATGTAGCGAAAGAGGTTTTGAGGGGCTCAAAGATGCCGAGTACATGGAGAAAGAGTCTAGTGGTCCCGCTGTACAAAGGAAAAGGAGCAGCGACGGTATGTGGGAATTACAGGACTATTAAGCTGATTGAGCATGCGTTGAAGATAGTAGAGAGAGTGTTTGAAAGAAGGTTGAGGGAAGTTGTTCGGATGGGGAAGAGCAGTATGGATTCATACGGGGAGAGGAACGACGGATGCGTGTTTTGTGTTGAGGCAGCTGCAGGAGAATTTTGGAGAAGGACAGAGAATTGTATATGGTGTTTGTAGATTTGGAGAAGGCGTTTGATAGAGTTCCGAGAAAGGTGATCGAGTACGCGCTGCGTAAGAAAGGTGTGACAGAGAATATGGTTCGGGCAGTTATGGAGACTTATGAAGGTGTAGAGGCGGTGGTTACGGAGGAAGGTGTTAGATCTGGTGTTTTTGAGGTAAAAGTTGGTGTTCATCAAGGTTCAGTCTTGTCGCCATTACTGTTTGCTTGTGTGATGGATGTACTGACAGAGGGAGTGAGAAGAAAAGGATGCTGGTGTTTGTTGTATGCAGATGACATTGTCTTGGTGTCGGAGTCGAAGCAGAAAGTCATGGAATGGTACCGAGAATGGAAAACGGCAATAGAAGTCAAGGGACTGAAAGTGAATGAGGCAAAGACGAAGGGCATGAGATGCTCGAGGCAGGTGGAGGTGAAGGACAGTGGATGTGTGGGAAAAGAGTTGGAGTGAATTCGATAATGTGTGGGAAATGCAGTAAGTGGGTTCATGGAAGATGTTCAGGTGTCCGTGGTGCATTGGTAACTGATTTTGAGTGCGGGACGTGTCGAAGTGGTGGGCGAGTCGCGATTGAACGGTTTGAACTGGGTGACGTGAGTTTGGAAGGTGTATTGGAGTTTAAATATCTGGGCGATGTGTTAAATGATGGTGGAGGGTGCGAGCAAGCGGTGAGGAACAGAGTTCAAGCAGCGTGGTGGAGTTTTAGAGAATTGTCGGGAATGTTGTGCGGAAAGTCGACTTCGTTGAAGCAGAAGGGAGAATTGTATAAGGCATGTGTTAGAAGTGTTTTGGGATATGGAGCAGAGTGTTGGGCGCCGAAAGCAGAGGACCTTAGAAGATTGGCGTCGACGGAAATGAGAATGATTAGGATGATGTGTGGTGTAACGTTGATGGGTAGGATTCGAAGTGAAGAGATTAGAGAAAGAGTTGGTGTTGAGTGTATCGAGAATTGGGTAAGGCGCCAGCGTTTGAGGTGGTTTGGGCATGTAGAAAGGAGGGAAGAAAGTGATGAAATTCGTAGAACGTTGCATATGAATGTTGATAGAGTCCGCAAACGAGGTAGACCGAGAAAGAGATGGATGGATGCTGTGAACAGTGATATGAAGGCGATGGGTATAACGAGAGATATGGCGAGAGATAGAGACGTTTGGCGTGGAAAAATTCATGGCCGGTCAACCCCCCTGGCGGGGATTAATACTGGCCGGTATACAAATGTTGTTTGTTTGTTTGTTTGTTAAGTAACTTTTTCATATTTAAACACTGTTTTAGCAACCAGATTGTTTGTGTGAACAAAATCCTGCAGTAGTCTGTGACCTTGTGAATATGAATGCCCATAATGGCAAAATGTGGATACGAGTAAAGTGTGCTTACTCACTAAATTGTCGTAAGCATACCTTCTTTGTTGAGGAGTTTGTTGGCTACAAGCCAGCAAAGCAACAAGGACAGCAGTTGTGTTCCCTTGCATCTTTTATCTGTTTCTTGATTGGTCAGATAGGATCTGAAATTGAACAAAAATTCAAACATCTCACATCACACTACAGCCACAATATATCTAAAAGAAAGTTGGGAAATTCTCTTACCCAAATGAATGATAGAAACATATAGGATGTAAATGATGATTGAAAAAATTGAAAAGTAATTTATGCAGCATTAAAACACAGCACATTACATTTAATTTTACATTTGTTAGAGGAAAAAATGAGAACTCAATCACCAACTGACAAGCTTGTTTTGTTCCTGATAGTTTGGGTGGTTGAAACACATATTAAAATGATATGTAGAACAATTTCTCTTTTCAACCCATTCAACACATTAATAACTATGACGTTATAGTTTGCTATAAAAGGAAATCAATTTATTCTGTATAGCAATTGACCTTTATGGAAAAAATGCCTCAATAAATCATGATTAGATTCATTTTCATACACAGCAAAATTTCAAGATATGATATTTATTTTCCAACTACAGTTATCAACAATAATAAATGTCTTTCGATTTGATGGTGACCAATGTGAACAAACTTAGTTAATGGTTAATAATACCATGCTTCTAGATATATGATCAAATAATCATGCAAATCTATCAAATCACAATCACATGTATCAAGTGCAAGTCACTAAATCAGCAAAATTGTGAGAAGATAAACTTATACAAAATGGGCCATTTAGTTATGTTCTGGTATGTCACCAGTGATACATAGTTCTAGCACTTTACACCTTTCTCTACGCTTAAAATTTTCTGGGAACATAACAAAATTGCAACTACTTATATCTAAAGGTGCAAAGTGACATACATTATGACCCCTGACATTATCTTGTCAACTGTAAGAGTTAGACTAATCTATGAATCAGAGATAACATATTAAATTCTAACTGATAAAATCAACTTAATAAACATTCAAACAAACGCATATATTACTCTAACTTTTCCACGATCTGCAATAAATTAACTTCCTTTGAGAGAACAGCTAGAATTTGAAAATAGGACGTTTCAATGTATATTGAACTCTGATGGAAAATTACATTTCATAAAACTTCAACCTTTGTTAAACATATTGAGGACTGCACCGCGTTCTTCCTCCAATTCTTCTTTCATATAATGGTCGATTAACTTGTCGGCCACAGTGAACTCGACATTTAAATAATTGGAATGATAACTGAAGCCAAAAAAAATTTGTCATCATCATTCGTCATCACCATTGAGTTCTATAAGACCTGGAGGGGAAATGTCCACCAAATTACTATAAATTATTAGGGCGGTCCAGGTCCCTTTTCCCCTCCAGGTCTTATAGAACTCAATGGTCATCACACGTTAGGCTCTATTCTCTTGCGTGTTTATTTTAATTTTTTTAAATCATTTGTCCCTTGGTAATGGTAGAGTTCGGATCTTGATCAGAGCGTAAAAAAAACGAACTTTTTTGAAGGAAAAGGTTCACGGAAAGTGAATCAAAGTGATAAATCGAGAATCAGGGTGAGGTGAACTTAGTCGATCTGCTCTTACGCTGCGGTTTTCCTTTAAAACATATCAAAGTCTTTAAGGATATTCAATTATTGATATCGAGATGACAACCATTTAGTATTTCAAGTATACAATCGCTCTGTAAAAAGTAAAAATGCGAGTTATAGACTCAATATTTTTTTATGAAACTGGATATTCAAGTTTCTTTTTTCTTCGGAAAAACAGATCTTTAATACCACTTAAATAACAAAAAAGACAAACACTGTCTGACACCGTTTGAAAATTTACCTTTCGATGTAAGAAAAATTTTTGCTTGAATATTTTCTCGTCATATTTTCTTATTGTATTGTCTTTTTAGCATACAGTGTAAATTTCAGTTGGTTTTTCCTCGTTACAAGTTGCAAGTTACAACGAACTCACTGTAGTAAAGTTTCAGCTGTAAAAAATAACCTTTTGCGAAGAATTGGCCTCGTGTGTTGTTTGTCGTGATGTTGTTTAAATGTTTATGTTTTTGTAATTTGTATTCAAATTTATATTGGCCGTGTATGTTTGGCACTCAGGGGAATGAAACTGACGTGCAAACCGCGTGATTATTCGACTTTGAAGGACTGGAACTGACGTACAAACCGCACAAGAGACTAGGACTTTGACTTCAATTTTATATCTATAAAATGTATTTTCGTTATCCTTCCATATATATATATATATATATATGGAGTTCACTGGTAGGCCATGATCTTTTCTAAATAAATTGAACCATCGAACGGACTGGACAGTGGACGGGGATGGCCGAACTGGACCCAGTGACTGGACCATCTGGAGTGGGGGGAGGGCGATGGGAGAGTGGAGAAAATTTTTTGACATGTAATCCATGCTGTAATCTAAACATTTTTGCTGTAATATAAAATTATCAAGTGGTTCATTGGTTGTGACAAAGCTGATTGCGAATTTTTTTGTTTTGACACGCAAAGCATTGGCTATTTTTGAAATGAGTTAAACTTGAGAAACGTATTCATATCTCGTATTTCTTGATTTAGGACGTACGCAGTGTGCAGTACATGGTGCAGTACCATTGAATTAAAAAAACATGGAACGCTTCCTGTAACAGGGACGTCAGAACCGGGGACTGAGGGGCGAGGCTGAAGCCCCCCTTCCCACTTTTTAGTAATGGCAAAAGAAAAAAGATAATTAGATTGCGTTAAAATTATTGTTTAGAACTGTCTTTTAAGACATTATGGTATAAATGAAGACTTAGCCCCCGCAATTCATATGTTGCTCCGCCGTCCATGTGTAAGAACCAAATCTTACACTCAGACACGTGAGATTACAAGCGTGTGTAGTTCAATCAGTTTTCCATTCGCGAGAGAATCTCGAAACACTACACACGCGTGTCTGGGTGTAATCTTGCGTGTGTGGGTGTAAGATTTGGCTTCAATTATTTGCTTCTTCAGATAGCGTCCATGTATTTTAGCTCAATGTACAGTACCACTCGCCCTGGCCATTTTCGAAATAACTTTTACAACAGTTCTCAGCCTCTGGATCTCTTAAGTCTTACAGAACTGAATGGACAGGTAACATGATCGTAGTTGTTCATGTAAATGACTATAATAATAACTAGAGTAATTCTTTATAACAGTGATTTACAAGACAGAGGAATTTCTTTTTCCCTATCTTTGTCAATTTATAATCACGTTGAAAATGAAATCGTTTGAATCATAAAGCTGCATCTTTTGTATGGTTATACCGATTAACATTGCAGTCTGACGTACCCAACTGACTTACCGTTGGCCCAGTTGAATAGCACAGTTAGAGACGCGTGGGAGTGACTAGCAGCGGTATTTAATTAAATTCTGGAATTTATAGCCATTTATTCGCTCAGCTACCAAAGGATTTATGCCATGGCAACACCGCTGGAGTTTGCAGCAGTCATGCCAGTTTCTTATTGCGTGTGATTCTTATCGCAGCTAGAAATATGATGTCACATAAGACATCTATTTCATCTATGTTGTTGTATTCAATGGCACAGCGTCTTTCCTTCATGCACAGTAATTTTTTATTTGCCAGAACTTTCTTCTTTGTTCCCGTGTCATCGGGGTCGATAACACAACTTAGTCACAAATAATGGAGTGGTTTCATGCTTCTCATTCCAATCGTTTAAATGGTAGCTTTGAAACTTGAAAGTGTGCATGCAAGCATATTTTAAAAAATTCCTCATACACGACAGCGTCTTCAGTATTGACGTTTAAACGAGTAATTTTGAAAAACATCCAATTATTTAGAATAAATGATATTTTTTTACTTCCAATCTCTTTTGCTATCATGTGACGATACAGTTAAAAACGTTAATGCATATGATTTCAAATTTTGTTTCACAATGTTGATATTCACAATGTAGAATATATAATGAGTGATTCCATATTGAATGAGCACAGGTTTTGTAATTTTAATGACATGCAAACAATTTTGCCACGTATAGATGTGCATTTTCAGATTTC